TTTGTGACTGAGATATTTCACTCAGCATAATGTCCTCCAGGGTCACCCATTTTGAATAATATTGCATGAGTTCCTTGTTTTTCAATGCAGCATAGTAATTGTTCTTTTTAAATTGTTAAAATGTTGATGCCTGCTCTTATTATTTATTCTAACAGTCTCTTGCTTTAGGATTTTTGCTCTATTTTTTCCTTAAGTATCTTAAGGCAACAGAATAGGTTATTATCTCATGATTGCCCTCACCTTTAGAATACGCATATATTTGTATGTATCTCCCTTTGAGGCTGCTTTCGCCACAGCTGCCAAATGTTAATATGATCCGCGTTCATTTGCTGTCAGTTTAAAATGCTTCCTAATTTATCAACACTTCATATTTTTTAAAATGTAGCAATATTTTAATTTAAAATCATATAAAGTATCAATCTACTTACATGTCAATCAATTTTCACACAGCTCTCATTATACTTATGTAACTTCAACTAAACTAAGAATAGTTTTGGTGGTGGTGGTGGTAATGTGGCAGAGAGTCAGAACCAACTCATGGCTGACTCTCCTGTGAGTTTTCAAAGGCTATAAATCTCACAGGAGGAGACTGACCACATTTCTCCCACAGATCAGCCACCAGATTCAAACCATGTACTTTTGAGTTTGATAGTGAAATTCATTATCACTAAGCCACCATAGACATTCTGATCTATACTCCGACTTTCTTTTAATTAGTACAAGCTTGGTATTTATTTTTCCATTCTCCAGCTTAAAACATATTTATTCATGGAAGTGGGTTTTTTCTACATGAAATGTAGTTAATTTTCAATTTTGGCAAGGGGAAGGGAGTTAGCATTTGCACACTGGCTTTTAATCTAAATCTCTTCATGTTACGTTTTCAAGAGTGGATTAACAGATTATGGCACATATTAACTCTATATATGTGTAGTGTGAAGGATTTCTTGTTCATAATGACATTCTTAGCCATCAAGTAGGACAGGGACTATCTTGTAAATAGAGCATATTGGTCTATCCACAAGGGGAGTGGATGGTATAGTCAGTCATTAATTCACCTGATTCAGCAGTAGAAATTTGGAATCTCAAGCCAGGAAGGACAGGGAAAGCACATATACCTTTTGTGGCCAGAGATTCCTGTGCCAGCCAGACTAAGGAACTATGCATGAGCAACAGCAGCCTCAGCAGAGACTCCAAGACCAACCCGAGACAGAGCTGACTTGGGCCTGCCACTGCACAGCAGGACCTTCACCCACACTTGCTAGAGGACTGCAGGGGAAATGCGTAACTGGTAAGACGAAGGGAACTTTGTGACACTGGTCCTAAGATGGGAGACTGGAAGTCAAAAGGCCCTGTGACCACACTTGAGAAGCACTCTGGACTGAGTACATGTATCCTGCTGCTAACCTGAATTACAGCCTGTTAGTTTACCTAATAAACTCTATAATGATGAGTATGTGTCTGTGTAATTATTGTAATGAATTTAGAAAGCAATATGGCAGTAGGACTGACGCTGGAATTAGCAGAAAGAGGTTCAGGAGTCGGTGGGGGGGGGCATGTCTGATCTCATGGGAATCGTTCTGTACTATGGATGATGGCAGGGGTGGGGGATGGGGGGGGCTTCTCCCTCTTGTGGAGTTAGAAAAGGCCAGACATGGTTGTCTCCATGTTGTTCTTACTCTTTTTACAAGATGTATTCATATTTACCCCCCATAATTTACAGCTATCTTCCATAGGAAAAATGATTGTCCAGAGCAGAATTGGAATAAAAGAGTTGCATTTCTAAGAAATTACCCTGAATTGCTCATTGTAATGGTTAAACAAAATGATGAATATTTACTACACTGAAATGTCCATGTGAAGACTACTAGAGAGGCAAATGTTTTGCTATTTATATATTTAATATATTTTTTTTAAAAGAAAAAAATACCCTTGTGCAAAAGAATATTTAAACACTCATGGGAAAATGAGGTAGGCAATTGAATGGACAAGATGAAGGATAATTTATTTTGCTATTTGGTTGGCTGAACTAAGTAAATACAACTTGAGTCACTAATTCATAGTGTAGAGTGGTAGGTAAAGTCACACTAGGTGCAAGCATACTGGCTACTTCCAAGTTAACCCTTGAGATGTACACTTCAGTCCTGTAACAGCTTCTGTAAACTGCCTCTCACTTTTTACCTTGCTATGGTCATCAGCACATGGATACATTTTGTTTTCTTTTTTGTTTTTCCCATATATCTCTAAGACTAGAAATGAATGCCGTATTTTCCTTTCATGGACAGTTACCTGTATACTTCTTTTAACATTCTGTGTTGAGTTACAGTAAGTTTTGAATTATTATAATTGTCTTTTATATTCTGATTCAATATCCCAACAAATTCTTTTCAGAGTCCACAATTTAACAAAATAATTATTTCAAAAGGAAACAAGATATTCCTAAACAACTGCAGAAAAATGTTCACATTTCTTTTAAAATCTTATTTTGAATGATAATTTACAAATAAAACTGTTAAATGAAGATTATAATTATTATTGTTCATATAAATATCACAAATACTTCTTAATATGTAATTAATCTAAGTATAGTTAATAAAATGCAAAACTAGTTTTTTAAAAAGCAGCCCATGGAACTTGGTTATCTATTCATTTCAGTGTATCCCATCTAAAACATTTTCTTTTTATACTCCCTCATTTAAATATGGCATCTTTACTCCATTAACCAGCTCAGTATTTGTGGGGTGTTGTTCTGTTTCATTTTGTTTCCACAAAAATTCTAAATAATGTGAAAAACTGCAACACCAGGGAAGAAAAGTTTACACAGTCATGTGCTTTCTTTTAGTTTACAATTTCCTCTTTTGCACACATTCTGTTGGGGAAAATAACAAGCCTTTTTTTTCTCTCTCTCTCTCTAGAAAACAAGTTAAAAAGCACATATACATAAAAGGAAAAACTTGTACTAAGTAGACTGTGGCTTGAGAACTATTTATGCAGCATCAGAAGACTAAACCAGACTCTGGCCCGGCCATAAACTAAACCCACGCCCCAAATGAGGTGCCAAGCCACAAAAAGCATTTGCGTCATCTGGGAATACAAGGAAAAGAAGGACTTCTAATTATAGGGCCTGGAAGCGGAAGCCTACAGCGATTAGCTGTTTAGGCGCTGCTGTATGTTTATCTGGAAGCTTCCTCTCTCTCACTCTCAGCCTCAAGTTTGATAGATGAGTGTTAGACTAAAGGGTGGAGACTGAGGCTGCTGATGGTACATGCTGTTCTCCAAAATCTTGGGTAGCTAGACACTGAACATTAAGGCTTTTGCGGCCTCATAAGAACGTATAAGTCTTTTCAACTGGGCGTCAGTTCCTTAGCCTAAAAAGCAAAATTAAAGAGTAGCAAATCTCTACTATGCATATGCTATAAAATCTTGGAAACATGAGTAGGTCTGTCTTTTCTACCATATCCTATTTATAACACCTATCTAATTGTATGGTTCTTTAACATGTCCATCTAATTGTATAGTTCTTTAATATGTGAACTGAAAGAAACTACAAGCTATTCACGCTCTCTTCTTAACAAAGCACTGAAACACTGATAAACTGGATCAAATTTAGATTGTATGGCTCATAAAATAACTTTATATCTTGGTCTCAATTCCAGTTCATATTTCTCCATCAGTATTTGCATATATGGGAATCTCTCCACCTGTCATACTGTCAGTTTGTCCTGCTGTGATGGCCTGTGTGTTGCTGGAAGCCACTGTATTTCAAATCCTAGCAGGGTCACCCATGGTGGACAAGTTCCGACAGTGTTTCCAAACTCAAAGAGACTAAGAAGCATGACTAGTCATTTATTTCTGAAATAGCAGATCTTGAAAAATTCTACAGACAAGCGAAAAACATTGTTGGATTCAGGTCTGGAAGATGAGCCCCTCAGATTGGAGGGCACTTGAACTGCAAATGGGAAAGAGCTGTCTACCTTAATAACAAGGATAAAGTTTATACACAATGGATGATTTTCATTTCATCTAATAATGTGGCAAGACTAAGGAGAAAACAGTTGCAAACATCAAATAATAACTGAAATATGGAACGTACAAAGTATGAACAATGAAAACTGGAAAGTGTAAAAATGAAGTGGAATGTATAAAAAGCAACATCCTAGCCATCAGTGAGCTAAAAGCAGACCACATGATCTATTATGCCAGAAATGACAATCTGAAGAGTAATGGTGTGACACTGGTCATTAAAAGGACCACTTTACAATCTATCTTGAAGTACAATGCTACGAGCAATAGGATACCATCCATACACATATAAAGAAGTTCTATGAACATATGACTATTGTTCAAATGTATGTATCAACCAAGAAAGCCAAAGATGAAAAAATTGAGGATTTCGCTGTTAGGGACCTCTTCAGAGTGCTGAAAAACTAGGATACCAGTCTAGAGACTAAGATGGACCTGATCCAGGCCATGTGCATGGAGAGCTGGACACTGACCAAGGATGACAGAAGAAAAATTGATATCTTTGAATTGTGATGATGGAGAAGAATTTTGAACATACTATAGACTGCCAAGAGAACTAACAGGTCTCTCCTAGAGAGTGTGAAACCAAGCTGCTCCTTGGAGAAAAGTATTTTGAGATACCGTCTCACATACTTTGGGCTTGTAGCCAGGAGGGACCCGTCTTTCTTTGGAGAAGGATTTCACACTTGGAACGGTCGAGGGACGGCACAGCAGAGGAAGTCCAAAGTTGAAAAGGGTAGTAGTAGGACAGAAGCACAATAGCTCTGACCATGGCACTAGGGGCATTATAGTCAAAGTCAAATGGCCTTTGGCTGGTGGCAGAGAGGACCAGAGGAATGTTTGTGTTTCAATGACTACGCAAAGGCATTTGTGTGGAAATGCTCTCTTAAGCATTACAATAGGTAAAGTTTTAGTCTGTGGAAATATTCTTCTTTATCAATCTAAAATACAACTTAATGGTCTCAAGTCAGAACTAACACACAGCTGATCATCTCACAGGTTTTCAGAAACTGTAAACTGCAACAGAAGAGATTCTTTATCCTTCTCCTGAAAAGCAGGCAGTGCATCCAAACTACCAACTTGTGGGTTGACAGTGTGGCTCCTTACTCACGAGTCCACTAGAGCATCCTCTTTTTCAGAAGGCTTTTAGTAGGGTTTTTTTTTAACTCCTCTTTGAATTTCCAAACATATTTTGAATCACCTTGATTGATTCTGTTCAAATAATCATTTTTAATTAAGTTATACATTACTGAATAATAACACTAAATACTATTAGCATATAAAAATAAGTTTGCTAGCATAATAATGTTCTGATGAGCACAGCACAAAAAAGGACAAAGATTCTAATCCACTGTTCACAGGGCCAATATGACTCGATGGCATCTAACAACAATAAAATATCTGTATGTGGAAGGCCATTAGTACGAGAAAAGTTTTAAGTCCTTAAATAAAACAGAAAAATTGAGAACACAAGGAATTTTAAGTTCAAGAATATTAGTATGATTCATGATCTCTTTTTAATTGTGTGTGTGTGTGTGTGTACCATCAAATTTGTTCTGACTGGTACAGGAGGAAATTGCCCCTCCTTCTCTGGCAGAGCATTTGATGGATATCAACCACATACCTCTGGGATTACAATGTATGATTCTTAATCTTATTCCAGAAAACAGAAAGTTATACCCTCTCTCCATTCTTTTTTATAACCCCGACCCATCCCTCCCTCTTTCTTCATATTCCTTTCTCTTTTCCCATATTTCCCTTCCTTTGTATTTCTTTTCTCTGTTCTTTTTCTTTCTCCATATTCCTAGCTCTTTCCATATTTCTCTCTATTCTCCTCCAATTTTTTTCTTTCTCTCCTAAAGCCCTCAAGCTTGTGGTCAACACCTCATCTCTGACCATCCCTGAGGGCCAGTCCATGCATCTACACTGTACTGCTGACAGCAACCCCCCTCCAAGGCTGGCCTGCTTTCAAGGGTCCTCAACTTGAAACACCTCCCCCTTCTCTTCCACTAGCTATGTGGTGCTGCCTCAAGTAGGGATTGGACAAGAAACAGTGTTTGCCTGCCAAGCACAACATCAGCTGGGCTCCCAGGATGTTCTTCTGAATCTCTCAGTTCATTGGAAACCAGAATCCAGTTCAGGGATTCTGAGAGCTGGAGGTGGAGCTGGAATCATGGTCCTCCTTTGTCTCTGCATTTTCCTCATCTTCACAGTAAAGACCCAGAAGAAGAAAGCAGCAAGGAAAATGGAAGCCACAAGGGCTACAGACAGCATTGTGGGTTCAGGATCATGGAGACACCAGCAGACTAGCTTGCCTCCAGACCACCCTGTCCCTCCAGAGGCTGGACCCAGCTCAGCAGATGAAGAGGGTCTCCACTTGACCTACTCAACTCTAAAAAGCTGAAGCTGCAGGAACAGAAGGATTCTGACACCAAATACTCAGAGATAAAGATACACACATGAGGAATTTCTCACAGACCTAACTCAACTCATAACCTTGCGTGGAAAGTACGTGGTCTCTGTACAAAGACCTGGTGTCATCGTATGTAGGGAATTGTGCTGCCAACCCACGGGGAGGAGGTTTGAATCCACCAGCTGCTGTGTGGGAAGAAAGATTATCTCTTTCTCTGCAACTTGCAGCCTCAAATAAACCAATGGAGGGTAGCTCAGAGTTGGTTCTGATTCGATGGCAATGAGTTTATGTAAATGAGTCTACTTTTCCAAGCAGGATGCCTTTTTCCAAGGACTGGTACTTTCTGGTAACATGCTCAGACTATATGAGACCATCTTTGTTGCTAAGGAGTGCCATGAATGTACTTCCTCCAAGAAGATTTATTGGCAGTCCATGTTATAGTTTGTGTTCTTTGCCAATACCACAATTCAAAGTCTTCGATTCATTTTTGCTCTTCCTTATTAATTGTTCAACTTTCAAATAGATCCCCTCAAAAATTAAAAAGAGAAAACAGAACGTCACATAGTTTCAGTTTTATATTTCAAAGAGGCTTTAAAAGCAGCATGTCTGTTTTCAAGTACAATATAATAACTTTGCAGAGAGTGCCAGAGGAATGTCTGTATATGTTTCATGGACTATGCAAAGGCATTTGACTGTGTGGATCACAATAAATTGTAGCTAACCTTGAGGAAAATGGGAATCTCAGAACACTTGATTGTGCTTATACAAAACCTATACTTGGAGCGAAAAGCAGTCCTCAGAACAGAGCAAGGTTCAAAAACACTGCTTGGTTCAAAATCAGGAAAGGAGTGTGTCAGGGATGCATCCCGTTCCCGTACCTTTTAAATCTGTATGCAGAACAGATCATTCGGGAAGCAGGGCTTTATGAGGAAGAGTGCAGCATCAAAATTGGAGGAAGATGCATTAACAACCTACAATATGTAGATGACACAACCGTGCTTGCTGAAACTGAAAAAGACCTGAATCACTTGCTGCAAAACGTCAAGCATTGTAGTCTTCAATACAGATTGAACCTCAACATCAAGAAGACAAAGATTCTCACCACTGGGCAAAACGGCTGCACTATATTAGATGGAGAAAGAGACTGAGGTTGTTAGCAATTATAGCTTGCTTGGATCCACAATCAACACTTTTAACACCAGCAGTCAGGAAATCAAAAGACAAATTGCATTGGGAAAATCCACTGTCATGGACCTCTCCAGAGTGCTGAAGAGCAACAATGTCAGTCTAGATGCAGTGCCTAATCCAGGCCATCAATTATTTGCTATCCTCCAGAGAGTTGGACAATGACTAAGGATTACAGAAGAATAGATGCCTTCGAGCTGTGGTTCTGGAGAAGAGTCTTGAACATATCATGGACTGCCAAGAAAACAAATCGGTCTGTCTCGGAGAGGGTGAAACCAAGTCTCTCCTTGGAGGCTAGCTCTGCCTCACGTACTCTGGGCACGTGGCCAGGAGAGATCAGTTCTTTGAGAAGGACATCACGCTAGGAAGGGTGGACGGGTGGACAGCACAGGAGGAGGAGACCCAGGATGAGAAGGATTGGTGCAGTAATTGGGGCAATGGGGGTAAGTGTGTCAGAATTAGTGAGACTAGCTCAGGACAGGGAAGGGTTCAGAAGTACTGTACATAGAGTCGCTATACATCACGGGTGACTCAATGGCACATAACAACAATAATATACTATGAGAAGTTTGGAAACAGAAGTGGCATCAACTTCCTAAATAATATGCCTCCAGAAACTCTATGAACTTTGATAAATGTTGATAGCTGTAGAAGGGCTTCAGGCCTTTTGTTCATAAGGTTGCTATGAGTCGTGCCTGACTCGAAGGCAAAAAACAACTTAGGTTTAAAGGCAAAGAGAAATGTTTTTACAAAATTATGTATCTTCTAACCTACTAGGAAAAAAATATTTCATAAATATTACCATATAAGCAATAGAACCAAAGTTTATTCTTACGTATATGGCAGAAATAGATTTCACTATTGTAAAAATAATGTTTCTATTTCTTAATTTTTACACCATTCTCCCTTCCTTCCCATCTCCACTGACCATCCAAAGATTGATTCCGTGTGTAAACCTCTCCTTTACTTTTTAAAATACTGGGCTTATAACATAATTGTCCTTGGTGAAGGAAAAGACAATTATACAGTAAGAGGTGGGTTGTTGTTGTTATGTGCTGTCGAGTCGCCTGCGACTCATAGCGACCCTATGTACAACAGCCCTAAACTCTGCTCTGTCCTGTGCCAATCGCACTGTCTCTGACACTCCCATCCCAATTATCCCAGTCACTGAATCAATCCACCTTACAGAGGGCCTTCCTCTCCTATAATGTCCCTCCACCCTCCCAAGAATGATGTCCCTCTCTAAGGACCGGTCTCTCCTCACAACATGTCCAAAGTATGTTAGACGGAGCCTCAGAATCCTTGCCTCCAAGGAGCCACCCGGTTTAACCCTTTCCAGGACAAATCTGTTTGTTTTCCTAGCAGTCCATGATATTCTCAATACTCTTCTCCAGCACCACAGCTCAAAGGCATCAATTCTCCTTCTATCCTCCTTGGTCATTGTCCAACTCTCTGATGCATAACTGGTGATTGCGAAGACCATGGCCTGTATCAGACGCACCTTAGTCTCCAAAGAGATACCATTGCTCTTCGGCACTTTGGAGAGGTCCCTAACAGCATACTTTCCCATGGCAATGTGCCTCTCAATTTCCTGGCTGCTGGTGCCAAGACTGTTGACTATGGAGCCAAGCAAACTAAAGCTGTGTACAATCTCAATCTCTTCACCATCCATCCTGATGCTGCCAATTGGTCCAGTGGTGAGAATCTTTGTCTTCTTGACATTGAGCCTCAATCCATACTGTAGGCTGCAGTCCTTGACACTCTGCAGCAGGCGCTTCAGGTCCTCCTCAGTTTCAGCAAGTAGGGTTGTGTCATCCGCATAACGCAGATTGTTGATAAATCGTCCACCAATCTTGACCCCACATTTCTCCTCATAGAGCCCCGCCTCCCGGATAATCTGTTCTGCATATAAAAAAAGAGGTGGATTAGACATTGTAATTAATTTCACTGATCAATGAAATTTCCATAAGTAATCATGAGAAATACATAATTTGTAAATATTCACTCAAAAAAATTTTTCATAAAAAGGTCACATTAAAAGTAGTCTAAGCCTGAGGTACAGTGTCTATTATCCCTAATGGATGAGTCCTGTAATGTTCCTTCTCTCAGTGTGCTTACTATACTAACTCTCCAAAAGAAATAACCAGATTACTATAGGATAAAATGGGTTCTTTTTTAAAAAATAAAATCCTACCTTTCAAATTAATCATCACTTTTATATCAAGAAAAAAGAACATATTATTACTAGTGGTCACTATCTTAAAATTGGCTGTATGCATGTGCCTCAGAAATATTACAAGCTTTGTGAATGTGAATTAAAAAATAAAATTAATAGGAATAGAAAGATATTGCCTGCAATTAAAAGAACATTAAAAAAACTGAAGAACCATAATACACACAATCAATTCTAATAAGAACACCTAGAAAGATACACAATTACAGGGTCAGAATCAAGAAAACAAAGTCAATCTTAACATATGTAAAGATACCATAAGTGACAAATTGGAGTACAAGTCAATGACAGATACAGCACTTTTTAAGATTTCTTTTTCCTCACAAACTCTTTAACCTACCTGTGTTACTACTAATATAGTTGGCTCATGGTGATAAATGAGAAGCTCCCAGATGAGAGGGGAAATGTCAAGCTATGTTGTTGTTGTCATGTGCCATCGAGTTACCTGCGACCCATAGTGACTGTATGTACAAGCCCTAAACTTTGCTTTATTCTGTGCCAATCTTATTGTCTCGGACACATCTACTCCCATTACCCCAGTCACTGAATCAATCCATCTCATAGAGGGTCTTCTTCTCCTGCGCTGTCCCTCCACCCTAACAAGCTTGATGTCCCTCTTCAAGGACAGGTCCCTCCTTGCAACATGTTCAAAGCATGTCAGATGAAGCTTCAGAATCCTTGCCTCCAAGGAGCAGCCTGGTTTAACCCTCTCCCGGATGAACCTATTCATTCTCTTCGCAGTCCATGGTATATTCAATACTCTACCTCAAAGGCATCAATTCTCCTCCTATCATCCCTAGTCTTTGTCCAGCTCTGAGGTATACCTTAGTCTCCAGACTGACATCATTGTTCTTCAGTACTTTGGAGAGGTCTCTGAGAGCAGACTTTCCCAATGCAATACATCTTTTAATTTCATGGCTGCTGATGCCAAGGGTGTTGACTGTGGAGTCAAGTAAACTAAAGCTATTTACAATCTCAATCTCTTCACCATCCATCATGATGCTGTCTAACTGACCCAGTGGTGAGAATCTTTGTTTTCTTGATATTGAGCTTCAATCTATATTGAAGGCTGCAGTCCTTGACCTTCTGTAGTAAGCGCTTCAGATCTACTTCAGTTTCAGCAAGCAGGGCTGTGTCATCTGCATAATGCAGACTG